GCAGCCATTTTACCGGAGAACTCAAAACACGACCATTAAATTCTAAAGGAGCGACTTGACTCAACAAGATTATTGCCTATAAAAGAGAATCTCTTCGCCTGCCCTCAGGGATCACATAGCTCACAACTTTAATCACCAAAGGAAGGTGCTGGTTTTGAAATGCTTTTTATTGATAAGGACTTCTGTAGAATTTGCATTACAAGTAAAAGATGGTGGACAGCCACAAAACAGCCACCCACTTTCCCCTAAATACTGTACTATTCAGAATATGCTCATTATCCATCTTTTTTGCAGCATAATAACTTACTGCATGGATGTCCTAACTCACCTTCAAAATAAGCTTATGGTCCAGAGGCTTTATAGGAGCCTGGGGAGGGTGAAAACAGCCNCCATCTTCTCTTGGGTTAACTCGAGGACATTTGTCAAAATTTCTATCATTATTTGTAACAGGTTTTCACCTTTTTCTTCTTCTATGTTTTGGAATTTTAGGAAAAATTCTGACCTTTCCATCTCCCAATTCAGTATTCCAAAATTATCTTTTTCAACCACACTGTCTATTATCAATCTCCCCAATTTTCTTCTCTCTTTGGTCACCTTTTTCTTCAATTTTTGTAGTCTATCTTCAAATATCATCACCATTTGTTGAATACTATCAATTTTTTCATCAGTTTTAACTGCTTTTTGTTCCATGTTCTCTGTTCAATGTTTCCCATTCGTTGTTCTATTGTCTCAATTCTTTTTTTCCATGTTTTCTGTTCTCTTTTTGATGGCATTTGTTTTTTTGGCCTCTGGTGGGGATGGGTGAGACTACATTTGGTGTATAAGACGCACCCAAATCTTCACCCTCTTTTGGGGGGAGAGAAGATGTGTCTTGTACGCCAAAAATATGGTACATGCTAGTTGCCACATGAGCAAATTTGGACCATGGGGATGTTGCAACAGATGTTGTAAGTCATGTCCCCCTCCCCCCAATGCTGTTGCAATCACTAAACCAATGGCTGCATGATGAAGACTACCAGTACCATCTTCCTTATTTTTTGCTCACAGCCATTTCAAAAGTAGCGGTACTCTCAATGGGCTTCACAAAGAAGGATGGCCGATTTTATACAGAAATATCTGGTGGCTTTAGTTTAAATTCAAAATAATCTATTACTAGACTCAGCACAGTGAAGACATCAGCGTAAGAGTTGAAATGTTGATGAGGCAATTTTTAATTTGAAGGCAATCTGGCGGTGGTGCTTAAGAAGGATAAAAGAAGGAAGCAGTTTGGGTGACCTGTAACTACATTTTCTAGTGAAACTTTAGTGTTTGCTGGAACTAATGATTCCAAACTCAGATCTTCTGGCAACAACCATGGAAACTTCAAAACCCAATTACGTTATACAAACTCCAAACGTGCCTCTAACTCAATACAGTTCAAAGCATTTACTGATGAATTTAATAGACATCTAGAACATGCTACAATATAAAGTTTTTTGGGAAAGGTAAGATAAAATTACATCCTATTGCCCTCTCTAATCCTGATTCCCCTCCCCCAAAAAATCCAGTTGTACATAAACCTTGATATATTACACCAGTGTTTTTCAACCTTTTTTGTGCAAAGGCACACTTTTTTCATGAAAAAAATCACGAGGCACACCACCATTAAAAAATGTTAAA